ATGCCTCAATCAGGTATTAAAGTATTATGTTTCTATGGTTTCGCAAAATTTCCACTCCTACAAAAAAATATTTTTCACGATTATTAATTCAAAAATTAGTTATTTAAATTTATGTGAAGAAAAAAGTACAGGTTCCACTAATTTTTGAAAATTCTTAAAACATTCCAGATACTCCCAATGCCATTACGGACAAAGCCCCGACTACATGGAAATTGATTTTTTCACAAATACCTGTTTTTTTTATGTTTGCCCTATTACTCAGATGTATTATATATTAAAAGTTAAATCAAATATCATACACCACCAATTCCAATTATTCCATTTCATATAATGCCAATGTTGGTATGCATACATTTTTTAAATTAAACATGAACATCAGCTTGTCTGGAAGTTTAGAATGTTACAAATGCCATTTTTCAATTTCAGTAATGCAGGCTTGTATCTTACACAATGTAATTTTAAGAATATTACTTGCTAATGAACATTCTCCAACATTACTGTAATGAGATTCCCATAGTAATACATGTTCAATGAACAGATTCTGCTCTTCTAAGCTTGCCGAAACATTTGTATACACTGCTACCAATAAAACATTACACATAACAAAAAACTAGCACTGCGACTAGTTTAAATTTTTTTTTTTAAGAGTGCCAACCAGGAGGGTTAAAAAGACCTAAGGCCACTCTTTGGATAGAATAGTGTTATTAATCTATTTTAAATAGATCTGATGATAGTGTAATACAACATATATTGGGTTTTTGAACCTTATCCACTGTGTTATGTTATGAAATTGCGCAACGTTTCAAGGGCTGGACCTGCCCTCACCTTCAGGTGTGGTCATGGGGAAGGGTACCTATGTGGGGTCTACGTCAGAACGATCACAAATGTATAAGTTCCTGAGTGTTTCTTTTATTCTTTAAAATTACAATCAAACAAAAAAAGTCTTATTTTGACTTCACATTTACTCAGTACACCACATTTTAACGCTGAACAAAAAGAGGCATGAAACTGCGTCTGTTACCGATGCAATCAGACCTCAATCAAAGAGTGCGCTGACAGCAGAAACTCACTAAGAATAAAATCAAGTCTTCAGTGACTGCCAGAAGAAAGTGATGTCTCTAGTAACACCCATTACTCATAGAGAAAAACTTCCAAGCTATGTTAGCTAAATCTCAACTGTACGCATGCAGGTGTTTTGACACGGTGCGCTGTGTCACATTTCTTGCAATTTTAACCGAATAGCCTTTGTTGTACACGTGTGCTGTACTGTGGCTTGTGATCATGCATCAACCAATGTAACTCTCCTTAACGACTTCATTATAGATTTATACATTCTCAATGGATCACAGCAAACTCTCCCAAATACATAAATGACATCAAATTCAAATTAGTGGCCAAACAGTTCAGTTTCCAGGGGGCCAGGGCCACAATGTCTAGACCGGGTTTCCTTTAGCGAAATGTGCTTTAAGACGAGAATCACCGATTAAAAGGTTTCCAACACAACATGGATAATACAGTGTCTTTTACACTCAGAAGGTTAAGCTAGAGTGGACTACAACATTCACAGAAGATGATGGTCGCTTAAAACTGCTCATCTAATAACCACAAAATGAAAGACAGTTACAATTCTGCAAATAGAGGGACAGTTGGACATGAAGTGTGTTAGTTTCCAAAATTACCAGCAGGTAAAATAATAATGACTAGGTATGATGAACAACATACAACCCTACAGATGGGGATCTTACATTCCTCTGAAATGTTGATAACCACCTACAAGACTACACAGTATCATAACCCAAAAGATTATAATCCATTCTCACTGCTGTAAAAACCTCATCACACCTTCTAATAACCACCTAAGTCGATGGAGCATAATCCTTTTTCAGAAGCCAACAGTACACTTAGATGGTTAAGAAATACCCCACCTATTATGGAACCCAAAGGTTAGTACAATCTAAGTTCTCATGGCAGTGAGTCTGAAGACAGCCATCTTCTGGGTTGTTGTGCCATGTACTCTGGTAGAAGTTTGCCAGCGTTTCAGAGGTCTTTGCTGCCTACATCATTAGGGTGATGAGGAGTAACTTATTCATCACCCCGATTATGGAGGTAGCAGGGACCCCTGAAACGCTGGCAAACTTCTACCAGAGTACATGGCACAACAACCCAGAAGACAGCCATCTTCAAGCCCAAAGGTTCATTACCGTATTCGCAATAGGCCAGCACCAGTCCCTATCCTGAGCCAGACGAATTAAAACCATACTCCCACACACTTTTTCGGAAAAAACTTTGCTAATTTCGTGTATGTTGCTTAGCAATGGTAAAATAATAATAATATAAAGGAGCAGGCACCACGTGACATACAGAGGACCTTTTGTAAACTGGTGACCTGAGTCACATCAGGAGCTTTCGATCATAAGAAACACGTCACAAAACGGTCATTACGTTAAAGAAAATCACAACTATCACATAAAATTAACAGGAAAACACCAAATACTTCCCACATAGCTGACTGAACTCTGCAGGAGTTTTAACAATGAAATACCCTACTTAAGGTCTTTTAACCCTAGTGAGGAAGTTGAAGGAAGTTCAAAAGAAAATGTGATTTTATAAAGTGCAACTATGCAGACGAGCTCTATAATGTGAGTGGCTATTCCCGTTAAATCTTGCTAATTCATGTCTGGCATTTTGGAAGTAAACGATTCCCAACCCTACATCAGCAATGGTGAACCATTACCACATGTACAAGTATAAAACTGAAAGCAATGACAGGCACATGAAATTCTGTTCAAAGACACTAGTAACTAAACTAACAAACTTAATTTACATGTGGATAAATGTGATTCAGAATTAAATTCGTATCTACACATAACTCCACTAATAAGTGAAAGCTATCTCCTGCTAAGTAACAATCACACAAACCGAAAGCAAGGTGCAATGATGCCTCCTAATTTGTCTTCGACTGTCAAGAGGTGTTCGTATATGTTGTTCCCGCCATTCTAATCCGACGAGCTGCGGTCAGCAATTTGCTATCTTCTGACATTCACAATATAATATTGTGTTTGTCTCATGAGTGGTTTTGTCTACATTTCCAAATTCTGCAAACTGTCTTCTTAATTAGAGAGGCCAAAAATGAAAAATTCCGAGGCAGAGTCTTTGAAGGGTGGTGGGAGTAAAAGTACCAATCGGATTGCATCGTATGTTCTCCGTTCTGATAACGTGGTTTATACACCTTCCTCTATACACAGCATTGCAAAACTAACAATGGAATGATTCAGTTTGTTAGGTCAAAACCTCACCTGAAATTTTGCTCATATACAGAGTCAGCACAGTAATTATGTGAAGTTGGAATGTACGGTTGAAATTGTGCCATTGTGCATGTGCATGACAGAAGCAAACCTAGCAGTGGCAAAGTATTCTCCAGAGTATGTGGGACAGATGCTGTGAAAGACTTGATAAGTGTCACATAAGTGTACACATTAAATTAGTACATACACAGAAATTAAAACCAGTACTAAACTTACATTAACTAAACTATTGCTTAGGACCTCACAATATGAATTTCAGAAAAATGCTTTTGCCTTAAAGTTTTACTGTGTAAGAGGTGTAAATTTGTATCAGTAGTTACAAATAACCAACAGCAACAGGAAAAAAAGGTTTTAATATTTTAATTAATCTAATGTGAAAATACTGTTCATCGAAAGGTACATTGAGAATACTCAATTTGTTTTGTCAACACATCTATGTACACTTGAAGAAAGTCCACTTGGTCACATTTCCATGACCATATTTTGTCAAAAGTCTAGTATACAAATCTTATCACCGAAGGAACCAAGCGAAGCAAACAGCTCGCTGTGGACCAACGTTAGTGTTGTGCTACATTTATACTGAGTGTGGAATGTCTGAGAAGAGAAGAAAGTGCAGATGCTGGTTTATGTTGATTTTCTTTTAAGAAACAAAAAGTTCTATGAAGAATTCCATGACTAGGATAATACATTAAAATAAGCCTCAATTTTCACCACAAATAAAAGATTAAAGGTTTATTTGCAATTCCTCTACTTCACAAGCTTGTCTTGTTCTGCACAGACAGAACTGAGCAAATGCTTTAGGTCACACATCAACATAACAAGACAAGCAGCATGCACTGTTAGATCTGCTTGATTCATAATATAAAATGTATGGTTCCTACAAATATGTCTGTGTATGGGGCAACGCACACTTTACATTTAAACTTTGGGGAATTCTTTGGCATCCTTGCACAGTGTATCAGCGGCTGGAATGTGCAAAATCATTACTAGATGGGCTCTGTTGAAGAGAAAAATTTCTGGTGAGGTTTCAACCTGAATAATTGGGTTATTCCCATGTAAACAAATATATTTTCCTGATTTGTTTCTCTAAGTGGAATAGTAATGTTTCTCTTCAGTGTGACATACACATTCATATCATAATACATTACCAAGTATGGACTGGAAACCAGATGAATTCTGCTTAGTTGACGAACTAACTGGTTGGATTTGTAATCTCAACATCAATGGTTCGAATCTCAGCTATGGCAGAAAATACAAAACAATCCTTTCAACATTACCAATTTTGTTCAAAAATACAGTTAATTAAGAAAAAACATGAACTTACACTATAGCGAACGAAACTGTTCGTGTGGTTATAGTAAAAGCCGCGTGTAAACATAGTTACGACCATCCGCGAACATCATTCCGAAGGCTTCACAGATTTGCACTGCCATGTTAATTTTGGTTTTAAAGTTTCCCGCTACGCACTATTACACACTATACGCTGAATTACAAACTGGTAAAAATAGCTAACGGTGGGTAGCACATCGATAATTTCAGAACACTTCCACTCCTTTGATTAAAAATCTGTACCATCCACATTCAAGATGGGTAGTTGGTAAGCTGCCAACCAAATACGATGGCCAGTACGAATACTGCCCTTTCCGTTAGGCACAAAACAATGTCCTGCTAACTGTATTAACGTTAAAAACTTACTTTCAAGGCTTCCGTCTCCGCCATCTTCCGAGACCGTTTTTTATGTGGTTCTGCCGTTGTAATCCGTAAATTACCTTGCTTCAAATACCAAGAACTATATTCAACTTATCCTGGAAAAAATTCATAATATGCAAATCACTTACAATT